TTATTTGCTACATAATAAATACTAATCTAATACCATAAATGGTATAACTAGTCTACTTTATTTAAACAAGACATTACAGACAAACTTGACCCACAATAAAAGTTCTAACAAACATCCTCAAAACACAGCCTTGACACTTAGAAAAATTTACAAGTGCAAGCATACTTAACTACAAAGACGATGAGGGAATCATGACGAGGAAAAGATTGTCATTAATGGATGCAAAGATACAAAAGGTGGGCGCTTCGGCCATTACACGCATTTCAGTGCTAAGACTACAAAAAACTAATGAAGGAAATAATACAAGCTATGAGGCCTCATCGGCTTGCTCCCTACCCTGGCCAGCATCTTCCCCATCGCCATCACCATCATCCTCATCGCCATCACAGTAATCCTCATCGGCCTGGGAATCGGCTGGCCCCTCGAGCAGGTAATCATCACTATCGCTCCATGGCTCTTCCCCTTCGTCCGAACTTAGGATCGGAGGTTTCCTCTCCGACAGGGGGAGCTTCATATCCTCATCAGGATTTTTCATCCGCCGGGGTAGACTCAAACCCCTCGGCCTCATCTTCCGGAAGCGACGACGAAGCTTCCTGTAAATCAGCCTCTGCATCCTGTACTGGCCGCAGTTGTAGAAAGCTTGCGTCTCGTTCATCCAGAAGTCCTCGCCGGCGGGATCCTTTATCACCCAATCTGTGAGCCTCTCGGCCACCACCTTGTAGCAGAAGAGGATCTGTTCTTCGGCCTTCCACCCCTCGACCGTAAAGTCCTCGACGGCCTTCTGAGCAGCCTTCTCAGCTTCGGCCTTAAGTCCCTCGGCCTCCTCGGCCCTCTTAACAGCAGCAGCAACAGCTTCATTGGCCTTCTTCCGGGCTGCCTCGGCATCATTGAGCTGGCATTGGAGGAGCTTCATCTCGTCCTCCGCTGCCTTGGCCTTGTCCTTAAGGTCTTGAAGGGCCTCATCGGCCGAAACAGCTTTGGCCTCCACCTTCTTTAGCCGCTCAATCTCGGCTTCTTGCCTCCAGTGCTGCTCCCTCAACATCAGGGCGCCCTGGACGAAGCAAAGTTAGGAAATGAAATCCGAAAACCAAAGGGAAAAATCATAACTACGGGGAAGAGAAATTACCTGGACGACATAGTCCATCCCTCCATCGTACAGCCGAACATGCTTACCCTGTCGGCTGAGATATTGACGGTCATACTCAGGCATAGCCTGGGCAAGCACGTCATCACCGCTTACAGTCTTGTTGAAGAGACCGCCCTTCACCGGGTAGCGCACGGTCACTTCGTACGTTCCCTTGGCAAGGGCCTCCTCTAGGCGGGCAGCAGCGGCCGAAGAAGGAACCACGCGCGAGGCCGTGGCGACCATGGCCGAAGAGGGCCCCTCTTCCAAATCCACTAGGGGAAGGCTCTTAGCTGGATGAGCAGCCTCAGCAATTGGGGCGGAGGAAGCACCGGCCCCATCATTCTTCTTCGTCTTCTTTGGGACTGGCACCACATTCAGGCCAGCTTCGGCCAGAGTCTTTTGACCCTCATCGGCGGCCCTCTTGTTCTTCTTCTTGACGGCGGGTTTCTTGACGACCTCAGCACCCCCCTGAGAACCGCCCGCAGACTTCTTCGCTGCCTCAGCAGCTTGAGCAGCCTTCAGCTCCGCATCGGCTTTCTTCGCAGCTCGGGCCATGAATGACATTCGATCCATGACAAAACCTGCACAAAACAACGGAACATCAGTAAAACAATAAAGGAAATACCAAGAGAATGATAAGTAGACGAAGGACAACCTTCGGCTTCAGCAGGGACACCAAGCGAGGGACTGTCGGCCTGTTCATAAGACCACTCCATCTTCGGCCAGAAGCCATCGTCCACATCACCAGGACAGTAATATCTCACGAAGCCGAGGGCAGCCATCCTGTACTCCGTAACGTACGTCTTGATACTCCTCGGCCCCCCCTTTATGAAGGCCTCTACTTGGTTGCTTATTTCGGCACCCCATGGAGGAGAATGCAACTGGAACATGCCGCTATGGCCATTAGAGGGAAAGAACCCGCCTCGGCCCAGAGTTACAAACATGAACTTGGCTTTCCAGCCATGTATGGACGTAGGGAGATCCTTGAACGACCTCCTCCCGCTAACCTGCTGCAGGGTTGCGTAACCAGCACAGTTTTGGTGGCTCCCTCGGCCAATCCGGAACATATTCATAAAAAGGGCAGTCGTCGGCGAGAACCCCAACTCGTCGCACCGGATTAAAAAGCCAATGATGATAGAAAAGCTATTGGGAGTCAGCAAGGCCGGGGGGAGCTCAACCATATCCAAATACTCCTTGATGAACGGATGCAGAGGGAGCCTCAGGCCCTTGGCAAGGCTCATCGGATAAACCCCGAAATAGCCTGGAGGCGGATTCAAAACGTGATCCGACGGCATGGGGGCCCTAACACGGCCGTAGGGACCAACGTACAGCTGTGCCACATGGTATTCGCCGAGGGATCCCTCTGGACGAATAATGTTAAGGTTTCTAAGATCCAACAGTGAATACCCCTGCGGTACCCCTTCACGCCTCTTCTGCCGATACGGCTTCTTTGCCCCGTGAGCCGAGGGGCCTTTCCCCGCCACAGACGATATCGGCGGAGGACAAGGTATGTTGGCAGAAGATGACGCCTCGTCACCTCTCAAAGGCGAGTTGGATATCGCCTCATCCTCACCCGAGTTCTGAGCACCCGCATCGTCACTCAGTCTCTCCTCGTCCACCGAAGTGCGGTAATCCGCAGTAGTCTCCATCTCCATTGCCAGTTCGTCCACAAGGGTCAAGTCGATTCGAGGCGAGTCGTCTTCCTCGTCAAAAGGCATGTCCTCTTCGTCCAACGAGGCTGTTAAATCAATGGGGGAGGGAACGCTACGGCCGTCAGGAAACGGCATAACATCTAAAAGCTTATTCCTAAGGGTGGTTTTTCGGATCAAAGTGGTTTCCCTACAAACACTAGATCTAACCCCCTAGGAAGCAAAGTATAAGAAAATAAAGAAGAACAGGCAAGAATCTGACCTTTGAAGATTTGAAGATCCGAAGGAAGGTTGATGAACACTTGAAGAAACCTCGGGAGCTTTCTCTCTCTAGAAACAAAGGGGCAGCACTTCGACTCAAGCAAATGCAAAATAAGGGGAAGGCTTCGGAGCAAGGGGTATTTATAGGCATCCCCCCAACAGTCACTACACGTGGCAACCTCCAATTGGCCACCTCAACGGCACCTCTCCTAGAGCCAATCAGCGCTTTTCTTTTCACATTCCACTCTAAGGCCACCGCAACGGCCCAACAAGCCCCAAAGCTAGGATGAGCATCGGCCTACTCACTCAAAAGCAAGGAAAAACTCGCTGCGGCCCAACTTACCAAAAGGGATGGCCACATCATCCAAAACGCTCTACGGCCCCAAAGTGACCCAAGGAACCACAAGTATCGCTACGGCTACTTACGCGCACATCGTTTGATGATGACCCCGGTATTGCGGCATTCGTCCAAGGGTTCTCCCACAGGGTTACCTTGGACAGGTTCGCCTAAGGGTTGGACTCACGACTAACGCATAAGCTGTCGCATCGGCTGGAGTACATCATGACTCCCTTGTGCCTCAAATACTCTTCGGCCAAAGGAGTGGGGGACTGGGGGGACTGTATCGGTTACAGGAAAGGAAAACAGCATAAATTGGAACGCAACGGCCTCAACACACGGAGGATTTGCTACGGCTCACCAATGACAAAAGACAAACGATTCACCTCAATAGCATTGCGGATCGCATCGGCTACAGAGCCCAAAAATTAAAAACCCAAAATACAAGATCCAGCACGCAACGGCTACGTACACTGGGGGACTGCGTCGGCTCACCAAGGCAAGAACCCACAAGTCAAACACTTCGGCTGTATGGCAAATCAAAGATGCGCAGCCGCATCGTCCGCATAAACGGAATCAACCATCTCCACTCCATAAAGCTACGTTGTCGCTGCGGCCAAAAAAGTTGTGAGGGAGCTCTTCGGCCCCAACAGATGAATAATGAAACAGGCCAGTTTTCCATCAGAATTCACATCTACGGAAAAAATAAAGCGCATCGCCTCGTCCTCAAAAACACTTTCACAAGGAACGCATCGGCCCGCACCAAGGCCACGAATCCCCGAGAGCGCTTCGCCTCCTTCACATGAGGAAGCCGCTTCATCCAAAATCAAAGCAGAACCTCTTCGGCCACCAAGCACCTCGAGCTCACACAACGGCCAGCCAGAAAGGAACAAGTACTCCCTTTCGCTTCGGCTTCGCCTCAGCTCAGAGAGTGGGGGACTCCTGATAGAGTATATGGGCCTGGATCCCATGGCCCACATACTTAAGTCAACGATGACCAGAAGAACACCCACGTGGCCCCCTTCGGCCAGTGGGTCCGCATCGGCCAGAAACCGAACCGACCCAGGAAGCACGCCTGGACTCCCGGGGGCCGCATCGGCCCATGGACCGCATCGGCCATGAGACCGCATCGGCCAAAAGGCACCGCATCGGCCAGATTTCGCCCTGGCAGAATGCATCTCTCTACTTTATTTACTAAGTATTGTACACAGCCCATTAGTGGCCCTATTTCACCCAAAGAAGGCATGATTATTGTAATGGGCCTCCTAAGCCCATAGCTAGGAGCCCAAATCCACATTTTTTCCTATAAATAGACCCCTTGGGGCTAGTTATAGGGGGTTGAGAAATATAATTACTCACTTTCTCTCTCTAGCTCTCACTTCTCTCTAGAATTAATACTCTATCACTATCTATATAAAAAAAATCTATATCTATCTATATCTATTTATCTATTCTATTTATATATAAGAAAAGAATAGGTTGTTTAAAGGACAATTAATTAAGCCCTTACTAATGCCTACGTGTTCTCTCTCCCGCATTTCTCTCCGATCACACATTTCGGCCACGTGGCTTGCTAATGTTTGCTTGCTTCTCATTGTCAATTCTCATCTCCCACGATTTTTGAACGGCGTTGCTTCATCACAAAAAAAAAGGTGCATCTTTCCATCTTTATTTTCTGCGCACTCATCTCTCCGGACGATTTCAACGCTGATCGCTTACATTTAGAATTCCCCATTTATCTCTAATTGTATGCAAGGTACAATGCAGATCGACATTATGGCTTCGTACTCTCACTGCCCAATCTCCAATTCACCGTTCCCTAATCTGATAGTCTGCTACGTGATATTATTTCCTTGGCTTTATGGAACAATTCTGCTTAGGTATAAGATGAATTGTCTGAGATAATTGAATGCAAATTTCTGTTAAAACAATATATTGTTGCTTTTAAAATTTATGTTTACTTCTGTCTCAGGTTTAATTTTCTACCACATCAAGTCAATTTTGCAAGCACAAATCCTTGGGTGCCAAGTAGCAGAGGTAGTATCTAATTCTTCATTTCATTTGTTTCACGATTCTCTGTCAATACAACTTCAGTCCAGCTTTGATTATATTTTGCACATGTGTTGTTTGATTAAGTGTTTACATATGTATGTCACTCATATTTCTGGCTGAGCTAATTTCATCTATAATGCATTTGGTTGATAGCATTAACCATTTTTTAAAGACTTGCTGAAGCATTTGGTAAAGTCCGTATTAGTCTGATAAATACGTAAAAGGCTCTACTTAATAGCGCATTATTATTATTAGGGAAAATGGAAACTAATAATCCAACCTTTTAGCGATCTTCTTTCAATAATCCCACCTTTTGATTATTCATGAATAATCCAACCTTTGCACCTCATCTTCATTCATTGGTCCCTGGTCGGTTAATGACCTACTATTCCAAGTTATTTTCTTATCTTTCCAAAATATTATCTTTGTGAAAGATGAGATTTATGGTATAATGATTTGCAAAGATAAGAAAATAGCTTGGAATAGCAGGTCATCAACCGGTCAGGGACCAGTGAATGAAGATGAGGTGCAAAGGTTGGATTATTCATGAATAATCAAAAGGTGGGATTATTGAAAGAAGACCGCTAAAGGTTAGATTATTAGTTTCCCTTATTATTATTAGTATTAAGGACCAATGTGTAATTACTTTATCTTGAATAGTATATATATATATGACTAGGGCTACCACATTGGTAAGCCATTATTCCCATAATATTTCTACATGGTATCAGTCGCTTAGGTTCCAAACCCTAAAACCAATTCACGATGACTACTCCTCCGATCACCTCTGCGACGCCCTCATCCATGGTGCAGCCTTCCGTCGCTTCTGGTGCATCATCGCCATCAATAATCGGCACCAACAGTGGCGTTCCAGTCTTCAAAATAGGTTCTTCCTCCGGCATGGCCTCTTCTTCCCTTCCATCACCTTCTCGGTTCATGATGCCTCCACCGACGGGTCCTGGATCATACAGGCTGTTTAATATGCCTGAAGCATTCTCTTGGGTACCTACTCTTTCTGCACCGCCTCCTACTCCTGCTGCAGCAACTTCTCCGTTTCAAAGCCAGCAGATTCCTATTGCATTCCCTGGCCAAACATTTCCTGGACAACCCAGAATTCAGCCACCCGAACATACCTCCATGTCAAGACTGCCTGGGATTACGGTAACGCCAACTTCCCTTTCTACGTTATTGTCCCAATTATCATTCTCAACTCCCAACGTTACAAAAATTGTCACTACTCGTTTGGATGTGGTTGAGGACTTCTTGCCATGGCGTACTCAATTTCAGTCCTTCATGGTCTCTCATGGCTTATTAGGCGTTTTAGATGGTACAATTGCAGCCCCTTTGCCTACTATTTTTTATAATAATGAACGTCGGGATATTCCCAAACCGGAGTATCATTATTGGTTGAAAATTGATCAAACGGTTAGGTCATGGTTGTTTGCTACTATATCCCGTAATATTTTACTTGAAGTGCATGATTTACAATTTTTTGCTTTAATATGGGAGCGCCTGGAAACTCGTTTCGTGCAAGCTAGCTTGGCCCGATCCATGGAACTCAAACGCCTTTTAAACTCTCTTAAGAAGGACTCTCAGTCCATGGATGATTATCTACGGGATATCAAAGTTCTTGCGGACAATTTAGCATTGATAAACTGTCCGGTTAGTAACCACGACCTTCTGGAGGCTACCATCACTGGATTGGGAAGGGGTTATGAGACACTCATCACCTCACTTACCCTGTTTCCAAACCAGTTCACTTTGGATAGCCTACGCCCACATCTCTTGGCTTTAGAACAGCGTTCCATCTATCTACGGAATGAAGAAAATCTGCCTGAGCATCAAGCTTTTGCTGCAGCAGAACCTGCTGCTAATGCTGTTCATCCAGTAGCTCGCGGAGGGGGGCAACCGCGTAATAATGGTGGGCGAGGTCCACACCGTGGTGGCAGGGGTCGGGGTCATCGCGGTAGAGGTCGAGGACAGCACGGAGGTGCTTATGGTGGTCCTCATCTTGCTGGTTATGGCGGCCCTCATGTTGCTGGATACGGCCAGCAAGTACCGGTGCAGCAGGGTTGGCCGCCCGGTCCACGTGGACAGTCCATCCTCGGGGTTCCAGGTACTTCTATTTGTAATTCTAGTCGTGTTTTATCAGGTACAAATGCTTTATTTTATTATGGTACTCACCCATTTATTCTACAGGTTTTCCATCAGCTGAGAATACTTTTCAGTCTCCACCCCCCGTAGTTTGTCAGCTATGTTTTTCTCCAGGTCACTCTGCCCTTAATTGTGCCCGCTTCACTAATAATTCTGCTCCAGCACTGGCGGCTTTTCCTACGGGTGAGTCGAATGAGTCTGTTTGGTATCCTGATTCAGGGGCATCGGCTCATATGACGCCACACGAAGGTATTCTCTCTAGTAAATCTATTTCCCCTGGCTCATTTTCTGTTCAAGTTGCTAATGGTAATAAAATTCCAGTTTTAAAAATTGGTTCTGTTAATTTATCCACACTTGGTCGCCCGCTTAAATTAAATACTGTCTTTCATGTACCGCACCTCAAATATAATTTGTTATCTATTCAGCGTTTATGTGCGGATAATGATTGTTCAGTAATTTTTAATAAAAATTATTTTTCTGTTAAGGACAATCACACGGGAGCCATTCTACTCCAGGCCTCCAGTGAAGACTCTGTCTACCCATTTCAAGCTGCCCACCTGACCACCTCTGCTCTTGCTCTAAAGACTACGCTAGTTTCAGGCCCTGTCTGGTACAAACGTCTTGGACATTGTGGAGACCGGGTTTTATCTCTTCTTAGGAAAAATAATTTATTTTTTGGTACTAGTAATTTTTCTCATGAGTGTGCTTCTTGTAAACTAGGCAAGTCCCACCGTCTTCCCTTTCAGGATGTTTTTCATACAAGTACTGCTCCTTTACAACTTATTCATTCTGATGTTTGTTAGTCTCCTACTTTGTCAAATTTAGGATTTAAATATTATGTTTCTTTTATTGATGATTTCTCTCGTTTTACTTGGATTTATCCTCTGCGTTACAAGTCTGAAGTTTTTCCTAATTTTTGTCATTTTCAAAAACTTGTGGAAAATTTATTTAATTGCAAAATCAAATGTTTTCAAAGTGATGGAGGGGGTGAGTTTGTAGATTCTACTTTTCACTCTCATTTTTTGAACCATGGAATTCTTTTTCGGAAATCTTGTCCGGACACTCCTGCACAGAATGGTGTGGCAGAACGTAAACATAGACATTTACTTGAATTGTCTCGAACCATGCTTATAGACTCTAATCTTCCCTCCTCTTTTTGGGTTGATGCTCTCTACACTGCTACTTTTATTATTAATCGTTTGCCAACACCTACTTTGCATGGTTTGTCTCCTTATGAGAAACTTTTTCACAAATCTCCTGATTATAATTTTTTACGAGTTTTTGGTTGTGCATGTTTTCCCAACATTGTGGCTAGTTCCTCTAATAAGTTATCTCCACGGTCTGCGCGTTGTGTTTTTCTTGGGTATGCTCCGGGGTATAAAGGATATCGTTGCCTGGACCCCCGGACTGGCCGTGTCTACATTAGCAGGGATGTTCAATTTCTTGAACACATTTTTCCTTACTCTACTCTCACATCTTTACCGACCTCTCCATCTCATTCCCTACAATCATGGAGTCCGACCCTCACTGCTAGCCCGGTCAAGCATCCCTTGGGTGGTCCAGTTTTGCCATCCCAGTCACTGCCCTCCCCCATAGCCATGTTCCAGAACACCCCAACCGGCTCACCCTCTCTCTCTCCAATACCACTACACCATTACAGCCTCACCCAACACCCTTAAGCAGCACTCCAGATTTTTCAGCCGAGAACTCACCTCCACTCACACCACTTACACCTCATTCTTCCCCAGGTAACGAATTATCCCCACCCCAGGCACCTTTGGCCTCACCTAACACAAGTCAGCCACTGCACACCACCCCTCCCCGAATGGCTCCCAATATTCACCCCATGCGCACTAGAACTAAAGATGGTATTTTTAAACCCAAAAATATTTTTACTCTTAATGCTTTAGCTCTTCCTAATGATCTCACCTGTTTTTCTCAAGCATATAAAAGTTTTATTTGGCGGGCTGCTATGGCGGATGAATTTAATGCACTAATTGCAAATAAAACTTGAGATTTAGTACCTTATGATTCGAATAAAAATGTGGTTGGGTGCAAATGGGTTTACAAGATAAAATACCGTTCTAATGGTTCCATAGAGCGCCATAAGGCTCGTTTGGTTGCCCAAGGGTTTAATCAACAGGCTGGGATAGATTTTTCTGAGACCTTTAGTCCTGTGGTAAAACCTACTACTGTCCGTTTAGTTCTCTTTGTTGCTATTTCTCTTGGTTGGCTTGTACGTCAATTAGATGTCAAAAATGCTTCTCTACATGGTCACCTCACAGAAGAAGTTAAGTATACATGCGTCAGCCTCCCGGTTTTATTCACCCTTCATATCCTTCTCATATATGTCGTCTCCGTAAAGCTCTCTATGGCCTTAAGCAAGCCCCTAGAGCTTGGTTTCATCGTTTCAGTGGCTTTCTTCTCTATCAGGGTTTCTCTCAGAGTCGGTCTGACTCTTCTATGTTCATCTTTCGATCTCAGAATCGTGTTTTGTATATCTTACTTTATGTGGATGATATTCTTATCACAGGTAGCTCTCAGTCTCTTGTTGATTAGTTTATTCTTGTTCTGTCTAAACAATTTGCTATGAAGGATCTGGGTAATCTGCATTATTTCTTGGGTATTCAAGCTCACCACACTCCCAAGGGTTTATTTCTGTCCCAACACAAATATGCTTCTGACCTTTTATGCCGTTTTCATCTTCACACTGTCAAGTCTATCAAAACCCCTCTCCCGTCTCGCACTACTTTATCTCTCACTGATGGGGAACTTTTGAGTGATGCTACTGAGTATCGTGGTATGGTAGGTGCGTTACAGTACTTGACTATTACCCGACCTGATATTACTTATGCCGTTCACCTGGTTTCTCAGTTTATGCATGCTCCACGTACTACTCACCTAGCTGCTGTTAAGCGTATTTACAGGTACTTACAGGGCACTTTGACACATGGCTTGTGGATTCGGTCAGGGCAGAAAATTTCGGTGGTTGTTGCTTACTCCGATGCGGATTGGGCTGGCTGCCCGGACAGTTGCCGCTCCACCACTGGATATGCTATTTTTCTGGAGGGTAATCTTATTTCTTGGAGATCCAAGAAGCAGCCTACCGTCTCCAAATCCTCTACTGAAGCTGAATATCGGGCTGTGGCATACACTGTTCAGGATACGCTATTTATTCGTTCTCTACTGGCAGATATGGGCATCTTGGTCTCGGATCCGGTCAAGCTATTTTGCGATAATGTTTCTGGTTCTTACCTTGCAGTTAATCCTATTCAGCATGATCGCAGCAAACACATTAAAATTGACTATCATTTTGTTCGTGAACGAGTAGCTCATGGGGATCTTGTTGTCAGATACATTCCTACTCAGTTCCAGCTTGCAGATATTTTCACAAAGAACCTCACTAGTCAGCGTTTTGAGTTTTTACGTTCCAATCTGCACATGGTGTCCCCTGCACAGATTGAGGGGGTGTAATAGCGCATTATTATTATTAGTATTTAGGACCAATATGTAATTACTTTATCTTGATTAGTATAAATATATTACTAGGGCTACCACATTGGTAAGCCATTATTTCCATAATATTTCTACACTACTTTCATTTAAAAGTAACTGATAGAATACTACAACGGTAGATATTATTAATCAAGTATTTAGAGAGATTCCCAATTAAGGACAAGCTAGATTTGTTTGAATAAAAATAGTGTAGTATAACGGCCCGTGATTTATGGAATTAATTAATTGTTTTAATTGTTATGATAATAGGATTTGCATTATTGCATTATCCAATAAGTTGTTGACACATCATTAGTTTTTAACTCAACTTTACTATATAAAACTATAGATTTAAATGTATAAAACTATAGATTTAAATGTATAAAACCTGTAAATACAAAATGATATATTATAGTTTTTTACTACTCCGTATTAGATACCATATACTCCATCCGTCCCCCTAACTTTGTCCCGTTTTATCTTTTTCGTCCGTCCCATTAAGTTTGTCTCATACCTAGTGGTGGACCCGGTTCGGGCCGCGCGGCCCAAGACCGGCCCGGCCCGTCACTGTACGGGCCCGGAACCAGCCCGGTTCTCGGGTCCGGGTCCGGTTCGGGCACCGAACCGGTGGGAGAAGCGGGTCCGGGCTCGGGTTCTGTTTTTGGTGGCCCGGCCCAGCCGGGTCGGGCCCAAACCCGGGCCTAACGGTCATTTAAAAAAAAATTCTTTTAATTTTAAAAAACACATTTTGGCTCAACAACCACTTCCCAAACGGCTATATAGCCGTTGGGGGGGTACCAGGGGGTCCGGGGCGTTTGGGGTGGGGTGGGGGGTTAAAAAAACCTATAAATACTCCTAATTTTAAACATTTTTTCACACCTCTTCTCCAACTCTCCCTAAATCCTACTCTCTACTCATCTCCAATTCTCCATATTCATCTTCTCAAATTCTCTTATTCTCCTTTATATTTTATTTTACTATTTAATACTTATACAATTATTATATCTACTTATATATTAATTATCTACTTATAAATACATATACTATATTACTTATATTTCTTATCTACTTAATCTTTACTTATATTTCTTAATACATACATACATACTACATCTACTTAATATATACTTTATATAATAAAGTATTAAATATACTTTATAAACTATTACTATATACTTAATACATAATAATATCTACTTCTCTACTTAATAATATCTATTTTATATATACTTATTTTATAATATCTACTTTTATATATACTTTATAATATCTATTTTATATATACTTATTTTCTTATTTTCCAATCTCCAATTCTCCATTATACTCTAATATTTAATTCTTATACAATTATTATATCCACTTAATACATACATTCTACATCTACTTAATATATACTTTATATATTAAAGTATAAAATATAAGTGTATTACTCATCTTATAGTAGTATACTTATATATTATATACTATAAACATTATATTATATATTACTTAATATAACTAGTATTGTACTAGTTAATTAGTTAATTAGCATTGTTGTTACATTTTTCATTATACTAGTTATTTACTTCATTAGTATTCTCATTAATTGTTAAAACAACTCTACTTCAATAAACTAGTTAATTGTCATTAATTCATTATAGTTAAAGTCACATTTTCTTATTTTCAATTTATATTTGTAGGAAGAAATAGTAGTTCAATCATTTAATTAAAGTACTTAACATTTTATTTAAGTAGTTTTTACTAAATTAAAGTACTTCAAAAGTTGGTATAATTTTAATTTTAAAGTCACACATTAATTCTACTTTGCACTAAATTAGTTTGAAGTATTAATTAAAATAGTTTTAATTAGTTGCATTAGTTTTGTATCCATTATTATATTGGTTGTCAATTAATATTTGTTACATTTTTAAGATGGAAGGTGGTAGATATTCGGTTGATTTGGGTAACCTCCAACGCAATCGAAGGAACAAGATTGGGAGGAAGAAATCCCGCAAAGGTAAAGAACTTGCCGGTTCTTCATCTCAAAGCCGAGATGATTTTGAAACGGGTTACCAAAGACGAGATGGAGATGCGATGTCCGAAGAACAACTCCAACAAGAATTGGCCCGACATAATAACCGCTTTCTACAACAACAACAAATGCCGACGACCATTGACGAAGAGGAGCTTGAGGATGAAGATGCGGAGGAATTGGAACCGGAGACGGCCGAGGAGGGTGCCGGCAGCCACGACGCCGACGAGCCTGCCTCATCCCAAACCGCCACCGGGAATAAAAAAAGTAAGTCTGAACTAATGAAAAATAATTTTGATAAATGGAAGGACCCACAAACCGGCTATTGGCACGCAACTTGCAAGTGGTGCAACAACAATTATAGTTTGGGAACCTCCGGCGGATACGGATCCGCCGCAAGGCATCTTATTAAGGCAAAGCACCCTGTGGAGTATGCAAAATTAGGCGGGGGAACGGGGAAGCAAACTCAAATATCGAGGTTTGCGAATTCTCAAACTTTTGGTAATTTCTCCTACAATGATGCACAAAATTTGACTGGTATGGCTAACTTAATTTGTGAAGAAAATTTGCCTTATTTGTTTTCTGAAAGTCTTGCTTTAAGAGATTATGCACAAGGTTGTTTAAATCCTCAATTTAGAAATTATAGTCGCAAAACTGTTAAGAAAGAAATAAGGGAAAACTACCAAATAGGTCCTCGTACTTTTTAAGAAAAGTCAATTGGGTCCTTGTACAACTTAAAGCTTCAACGCAGTCCCCAAAGTGCTAAAAAATGATCAATTCGGGTTGTTAACCGGGAATGAGCCGGTTTTGCCTGTTCAATGCTTATGTGGCTGCCAACAAGGATTTTTTTTAAAATAATCATTTATTTCCTACAAAGTCTAATGCCTCTCTTATCCCGTTGACAAATCAATGAAGAACCCTAACTAGACGTCATCTGCATCTTCTTCAACCGCGAAGTCACCTGCATCTTCTTCGAACGCGAAGTCATCTGCATCTTCTTCAAACGCGATGTCATCTGCATCTTCTTCAAACGCGAGTAAAGGACGAAGCTTTCGACTTGATTACGAGCCTTCGTTGTACTGTTACTGCGGATTGAAAGCTCCACTCTGTGTAGGACGGGAGAGTGGAAGAATGTTCTATGGGTGCCAGAATTGGAAGGTAATAATTATTACTTGTTCAAATAGGTATACTTAATTGTCTGTAATTGCTTGAATTTATTAAATTTGGTCTGCAAAGAAGTTTAAGAATTTTTAATTTTTTTACATTGACATTCAGGTTAGGGCGTGTGGTTACTTTTTGTGGAAAGATGGATTGCAAACCCCTGTAGCGGTGAATGCTGAAAAGAGGAATGAAATTACAGATGAAGCAAAGGCCATGATATCAAGACTAGCTGACCAACTAAGTGCTATGCAAGGACAAATTGAAGGTCTCAGAAGGGTGATTGAAAGTGAAGCAAAGGATCGTGATGGTCTCAGAAGGGTCCTTGAGAGTGAAGCAAAGGAAGCAAAACTGTTTAGGATGTTATTTGGGTTTGCTGTAATTGCAGTACTTGCATTTGCTGCACTCGCCTATGTCAATGCTATTACCACTTAGTTGTAGTGGTTGGAGTAATATTTTTTTGCTATGGACATGTAATGTAATTCCAGAATGTAAGAACCATTGCTACTGTGGTTGAAGGGTTATGTGCTTAGTGTTTTTAACTTGTGTATGAAGTTTGTGTATTTCAATTGTGTATGAACTTTGTGTATTTCAATGTTATGTAATTCCTGAATGTATGAACTTTGTTTGAGAACTGGGTTCTTTTGACTTGTGACCTTTGAGAGTGCAGACATGTTTCATTATATAAAAACTTAAACTAACTACAACATTTTAAACCAACTGAAACCCATTTACAAACCATATACCAGTCTAGCAAATAAGCCCAAATTGCTCAACTCCCAAATAGTAACATCTTCAAGACAATGTTCAAGACAATGTTATTATGTTAAAGCCTCAAAAACCAGTTATTAGCAGTGACTTAAATCCAAACTGAATTTAAACCCAGAAACCTATACAAGTAGCCTGCATAAGTGACTTAAGCTGCAGCAGTGCAGATCCGGATTATCCAAACAAGTAGTCTGCATCACACTTTAATAATTGAAGCCTTATGGGTACCTTACACAGGAGGGGTCACATGTTGCCTTTAATAAAGGTAATGTGAAAGGAATAAAGGGTACCTTACACACAGACAAGTACAAACATAAAGTAGCATATCCTTCAAATTAAACCATTACGAAATAAAGGGGAAACTAAATACACAACCACCAACTTATATAACAATAAGAAGGATTACAAGTGAGTAGCATTAATGCCCAACAACTGCATTAGTAAATTCATACACATACAAAAAACATGGTCCACTTTCACAGCCAAATACATTACACCGGGGCCATACAATACAGTTTTCCCAACAAAAAATAAAGGTCCATTAATGAGCTTCCAAACAAGTAGGACCACAAAAAAATATATCAGTTCACAGATTGTAGTGGGGTCACTTAATAAGCAAAAAAACTAAACATCCACACCCTTCACTTCACAGCCTTCACTTCCACAGCCTTCAGTCCACTTCCTTTCAACTTTTTGGGCACCCTTCACTCATGATTCTCTCACTCCCTTGTCCGGGCTGCAATGCCAAAAAATAGTATTCCATTAACAATTATAGTCATGCTATTATTATTATTATTATTATTATTATTATTTATAAATGCTCTTATTATTTACATCTAAAATGGTTTCACCAGTGTTGGAGTTGAAGTAAACTCCAAATCCTCTGTGTGTTCTAGCCCTAATACTTGAACCTCCCCTAGACGCTCCTCTACCTCCTCTTCCTGTTGCCTCACCATCCCCCATTGAATGAGTAGATCTACCTTTACCTCCTCTTGTTCTGACTGTGGCTTCACCATCCCCAACAGAATCATTAGACCTTCCTCTACCTCTACCTCCTCTTCCCCTTGTTGTGGTTTCACCATCCCCAAGAGAATCAGTACACCTTCCTCTACCCCTACCTCTACCTCCTCTTCCCCTTGCTATTGGCCTTGTAACAGTAGTTTGTGTATCTTGTGTGGAGGTTGTCTTGTTTGGACATGAAGCTTTGTTGTGACCTTCCTTACCACAAATGGAGCAAGTCATAATTCTCCCTTTTCTGCTAACTTGAGTACCTGTAGGTGGTGGTTCAGATTCTTCTCTTACCCTTTTCTTCTTAGGTCTCCCAGTCATCTTCTTGGGCTTGGGTGGCAAAATCTCTTCATGATCTGTGCTTGGCCACAATAGCTCCCCATTAATTGGTTGGAGGGTATATGAGTAAGTCCTTCGGTACATCTCTTTGGAGTACCATTTGTCCACATATGCTTCTGGATCATCTCCCTTATCAAATATAGCACATATGGCATGTGCACATGGTATCCCACTGAGATCCCATCTCCTGCAAGAACAGGTATTTTTTCTGAGGCTCACAGTGAACTGTTGCCTTCCTTTCTTTATTTCGTAGCCATCGTCCCCATTGAAATCAACGTGCCAACCCTGACTTCCTAAAGTATTCCTGTTTAGCTTCTTCATTATCACAGGCCCCAAATTCCCTGCAAATTTAGTTCAATATAAGTCAGTCCATATAATGCATTAGTAGTTTTAATACTTAGTGCACTTAATGATTTACTAGGATAAAAGAGTAATTTTAATGAAATAGTGGGCAGAAGTATAAGCACAAGCCCCAAGACTTCAAACCTCCAAGTAGATAGATTACAAACAACCACATTGTAGGTTTAATAGTCAGTGCACTTAATGATATGGTAGGATAAAATGTTAGTTCCAAATCATGCAAGAGTAGGATAAAAACACAATATTTCTTAAGGAATGAGTAGGATTATACTTCACTAATCTTACTGAATGAGTAGGTTATAAAACACAGTGTACTTCATGATTTAGTAGTAGTAAAATGCAGTATAGTTGTGGGAATATACCTGACCATTTTTCAACATATTTTCTTTTTTTGGCTATTCTTTTCATAGTTGCCACTCTAATGTCCTCCAACATAGGAATAAGGGGCTTGCTTCTGCACTGAAGTAGGGTGCTATTGAAGGCCTCAGATAAGTTATTTTCCACTGTATCGCACTTGACATCAGGTCTGAAATACACCTTGCACCATAATTTCATTGGAATTTTGCGCAAGTCCTTTCCAGCTTCACTGTTCAACTTATCCAATTCCTCTAATGCTGCATGCAGTTGTGGTTCACAAGTAGACTTTGCACACTTCCAGAACAGCTTCCTCAACACCATACCTCTATGTGCTTTACTCCAGTTAGCGTGTATGTGCCTAGCACAGTTTCTGTGCTCAGAATCAGTGAAGATAGTAGATATTACATTTGATAAACCCTGTCATCAATGTTAATTTTATACATCAGTGAAGGTTATAAAAATATGAAGCAAAGGTTATAAAAATATGAAGCAAAGTCAGAGTTAAGTTCATACCTTCTGCTGATCACTGATCAAAGTCCACAAATCTGGCCTGGTTATATCCAAATCAGTCTTCAGAAGGTTCAAAAACCATGACCATGATGAGTTGTTCTCTATTTCAACCACAGCCCAAGCAATAGGGTACATTTGGTTATTCCCATCCCTACCTACCGCAGTTAGTATCTCACCTTTAAGCTGCCCTTTTAAGAAACAACCATCCAATCCTATAACCTTCCTACAGCCCTCCAAAAACCCATGTTTAACTGCACCAAAGCACACATAGATTCTTTGGAAAACTGCAGGTGCTTCAGGGACCACCCTTACTGTATGGATGACCACAGTTGAATCAGGAATGGACCTCAAGCATTCCTCTGCATAATTTCTCAATTTCTTGAACTGATCTTTGAAATCTATTTGGGTTTTCTGATGTATTATTCTCAAAGCCCTTGTGGCCATACTTGTAGACACATGTATATTCATGTTAGCTTTAATCAGTTTCTTCAACTCAACTGCACCCAGTGTAGGATTTTCTATTACCTTATCTTCAAAAGTCTCAGCCAGCCATTTCTGACTCACAATTTTTAACTTAAACTTGTTATTGCATTTATGCTCAGTATTTAGCACCTTCACTTGGAAACACTTCATCCTATCTACCCAACTGGCAGTACAAGTGAAGGGGCAAGTAAGGGCACACCTAACTCTGACTCTTACAGCATCATTTTTAAGAAAAGAAATATCCCTTTTCTTGAACACAGCATATTTAATTATAGCATTCTTGAATTGTGTAGAATCTTCAAACAACATTTCTAATTCAATATTAGGGGGCTCTGAGTCTGGATTATATGAAGGATACCTTTTCTTAGTTGACTCTATAGATTGGTCATCATCTACCTCTTCCTCATTAGTGTAGCTTGGAGGATTGGAAGAATCATACTCCACACTGTCTTCCTCCCCATCATCATTGCTGCCTCTACTATCTTCTTTACCATAACTGCCCATTACACCTCCAGAGCTGTGGGAATGATTTTCTGTTTCTCTGTCACCAGCCTGAACATCCACATCCATAAGGGATTCTTCCTCTGATGACAAACCCTCAAGGTTACCTTCATTTTCAGTTTCAAAATTGACATCATTTTCCACATCCATGGGGGTTTCTTCAGATGATGTCAAACCTTGAACATTAGCTTCTTTTTCAGCCTCAAAATGATCATGAACATGCACATCCACAAGGGTTTCTTTATGTGATGTCCAAGCGTGAGTATTAGCTTCTATGTCAGCATTGCCTTGCACCCCTATCTGAACTTCAACTTCATCCAATTCAGCTTCAATATCTTCCTGTACTTGACCATTTGTTTCTTGACTAGGTCCAGGTAAAGACATCACCAATTCACAGTCATCCAATCCGTGCTCCACATAGATGTCACACTTTCCACAACTACAAGCCATTTCAATGAGATGTAGTGTTGTTTCATCATTGAACAGTTCCAGAAGCATGTCCATTGGTTCACTTGGTCGTTTGTAGTACAACCTTTGAATATTCCCATAACTTCCACTTCGTAGAGACTTCATCAAATGAGGGAACGAAATCAAATCAGGATCGATTTCAAAAGATTCTACTTCACCCCCTACGTACCTGGTTTTGGGAAGACAGACAAAGTTCCCTCCATGGTGAATTATGAGTTCCACCTTATCAAGCATTCTTCAACGTACTAAGCACTGAATGGCGTTCGCTTGTAGCTTCTGATAACTGGGAAACACTTCCGATTTACCAAGCAAAGGATAGCACCTTTCACTGCATTTCCAAACGTCGGACGTTCACAACGACATTAGAAAACATATCGGAGGTTAGGGTTTATGTGATAAATTTGTCAACGGGATTAGAGAGGCATTAGACTTTGTAGGAAATAAATGATTATTTTAAAAAAAATCCTTGTTGGCAGCCACATAAGCATTTAACAGGCAAAACCGGCTCATTCCCGGTTAACAACCCGAATTGATCATTTTTTAGCACTTTGGGGACTGCGTTGAAGCTTTAAGTTGTACAAGGACCCAATTGACTTTTCTTAAAAAGTACGAGGACCTATTTGGTAGTTTTCCCCAAGAAATAATAAGGCTTTATAATGCGGAAAAGGAAAGGTTACAAATTTTTTTTGCAAACTTTGATGGGCGTGTTACTATTTGTTCTGACA